CCAAAATGATCAATCTTGAGCTAAAACCTTCTCAGATCTGGAAGTTTGAGTTTCAATGATTATTTCTCAACATCGACAAATTGATTGTTATCATGTTTTACTTGAAAGTTTGCATGTCCACAATTACCCCATAGATACTTGTCATAGATTGTTCTTTAATAATAATGTGTATAATAACTAGAGGTATTAACGGGCCCTCACACACTGGTGGCAGTGGGGGAGTAACACGATGAGGCTGCTACGCCCACTAAGAAGTACTTGCTCGGGTCTCCATGTGGGGGGATGTTAGAGCATGTCCCTGCATCCATCGGGTGCTACTGGAGAATGCTTGCTAATTATGTCTCACGGTTCCAATATGAGGTCTTGAGTCACCTGTGAAAATTTCCGGTAAATCCTATGAAGTTTGAACAAGAAGGACTACTTCCTGTTTCCAGTAGGTGGTCTTGTTGAGCCATTTTGCCTCACCTGCCAAATACGATCCTTGGGGTGTGTTCACTTAGTGACTCATCATACGTGTCAAGTTTGAGTCAGATTGGAGCATGTGAAGTGACATTACAACCACTTTCTGTCATCACCATTAAATACAGGCTGACAGGGATAGTTCACCCAAAAATGAAACATCACCTACTCACAACCATGCTGATGGGGGGGGTGAAGTGTTTGAGTCCACTAAACACTTCTGGAGTCTCAGAAATAAACTTTGCAGCAGCCGAGTCCGATACGATTGTAGTAACTGGTGACCAAGGCTTCAGATGTAATAAAACAGAAAAAACAACATATAGCCTACCTCCAAACTGCTCATGTGGTGTCATCCAAGTGTCCGCAAGCCCCGACATTTAAATTCAACTCGAAACAAGGTAATTTACACCATGTTTAAGTCCACTGATATCTTCCTTCGAGCTGCATTCACAGACAGACATGCTAGCTTAGCCACTTCCAGTTGACAGTCGAATATGAATGTCGTGGCTTGAGGAAAATTGAATGACACCACACGTGCAGTACGGAGGCATGTTATGTTTTGGTCACCAGTTACTTCAATTGTATCAAACTCCGCTGCTACAAAGTTTAGTTCTGTTGACTCAAACACTTCACCCACCCCTCCATCGGTGTAGTGGTGAGTAGATAATCAGTGATATTTTCAGTGAACTATACCTTTAACGTATGTACAAATTAAAAAAATAAGCTCAAATAAATGGCTGAATTCCTTATGGGTTTTTAATATGGGTCCTCAGACTAATTTGTACGTCTGAGCATGATATGTACGCCCAACGATTTTCATGCACTTTGGTAAAACGTGGCGCAGGTAGCTCCACTTTAGGGGGCACTATCGAGTCAATTGGACAATTGGGTGTCAGATGGGAAAAACCATGTAAGTGCTCAGGCCCTAATAATAATGATTATTA